TGTGGCTCAAGTGGTAGAGTGCTAGCCTTGAGCTGAAGAGCTGAGGGACAGTGCCCAGGCCCAGAGTTCAGGCCCCATGACCGGACCCCAAAAAATAAAATCTATTCATCCAAATAAATGCATATCAGGAGCAAGATGCCCAGCATAAAATAAGTCAATAAAATATTTGAAAGTAAACTCTGGGAGCAAAAGACAATAGAAGAACAGGACACTAACCTGTCAGGCAGCCTGTGAACAAAATATTTCTGATAAAGAAGGAACAAATAGTTAAGATTTTATTATTAAAGTTGTCAGAATTTGGGGGCGGGAGGGGAAACTGATGTTAGAAAGTAAGAAGACTGTGCCAGGGGTGGTGGCTCATGCCTATAATCCCAGCTACTTAGGAGGCAGCATCTGGTAAGACTGTGGTTCAAGGCAATAAATCAGCAAGACCCCCATCTCAACCAAAAAGCAGGTGTGACAGTGTGAACTAGTTAGCACAAACACACAGCACAAACATATAAATGGGAGGATCATAGCCTAAGTCAGCCTGGTCAAAAAATAGGATACACTACTTGAAAAATAACGGAAGCACAAAGGGCTGGGGATGTGCTCGGGTGGTCAGTGGGCCTCACAGGAGGGGGCCAGCTCAGATGAGATTAACAGTAGGAAACACTATTAATATAAATCCTGGCTCATTCTTAATCCTCACAGGGAAATGTAAAACTGTACATTGATAATAGGGTTGGGGAGAAAGGAGACAGTCATATTCAGATAGGTTGAGATGAGACCGGAGGACTTTGAGTTCAAGGTCAGTTTGGGCCACATAGCAAGTTCTAACCCTAGCTCTAAAAGTTCTAAGCCTAGTCTACATAAGGAGATACTGTATCGGTAACATCAACAATGACAACAACTTGCTTCATATTTCACTTTCAGAACTTGCAGGATAAGAAGAGAAAACTTCGATGAAACTTATGACAGATTTATTTTGTCTCAAGATCTTGTGAATTCACTAAGTAGTTCTTCTGCTGGGCACTCCCTTGGCCACTCTTGGAGCTACTTTTAGACGATAAGACATTGAGCTGGGCTAGCTTCTCTCTCCAAATGCCCTCAGAACCTGTCGTGGCTCACCACAAAGACAACACAGCAAGGGCTTTCTCCGTCCAGTGGCTACGCTGCATAGCGATCAGCTGAGGGAGAGCAGCTCGTGTGTACGTGTTTGCCAGGGTTCTACTTGCTTCCCACCTGCTAATGATCTTCTAGTCACAGTAAATTACATAACCAAGTCCAGAGTCTGTGCAGAAGAGAACTACTTGAGGGTGTGGCTGTGGAAGGCCGGGGGCAGGGAGAGACCATCAGTCCAATAATTCACGATGGGGAAGGAAGGGATGGTAGGGGAGAAACAAAGGAGGGGCATCAGTGCTCAATAGGAAATGTACTCATTACCCTCTGTGCAGTATTTTTACAATACAAAATGTATAAAAATAATAATTCACTATGGTGGTGTTTTTTTCCCCTAAAAGAGGAGTTCGAAATGAGCCCAAAGGACATAATCAAATAGAAAGGTTGAAGGTACAATGTAAACAAATTACTTGTTTCTAGACAGGGTCCCAAAGGGTGTGCTTGGTGGGAAAGAGAAGGAAGAGTCTTCCTCTGAGACTAGTGGAAGGAAGATCAAAACGGAAGTTGTCCATAAGACCAAGGCAGTGGAGCCGGGCACAGGTGGCTCACGCTTGTCATGCTATCTACTCGGGAGGCTGAGATCAGAGGATGGCAGTTCAAAGCCAGCCAGGGCAGGGAAGTCTGGGAGACTCTTATCTCCAATTAGCCACCAGAAAATCAGAAGTGTAGCTGTGACTCAAAGTGGCAGAACACTAGCCTTGAGCCAAAGCGCTGAAGGACAGCGTCCAGACCCTGAGTTCAAGCCCCACAACCAACAAAAAAAAGAAAAAAGAAAAAGAAAAAAGGCAGTAGGGTAGAATTTGTGGTGATGCCACCTGTAGGAGATTGGTAATGGCCTGAGCAGGCTTACATTCGGTTGGGGTACTGAATGACAAAACAGGGTCTCAAAGCCAGCCAGGCCTGGTGGTGTACACCTGTAATTACAGCTTATGGGGCGCTGAGACAAGAAGATCTCAAATCCTAGGCTGGCCCAGGATATCTGTCCTGGGCATAGAAAAGATGGTCAACATGCATAATATTTGTGGAATCAACCAATGACTGTGACCCGCCTCTCTGGTCTCCCAGACGAGCACGCCACAACCCCGAGAGGCACAATGTATGGCTAAAAGTCACAAAGCTGGTGCACGGCCAGCCAACACCTCCTGCCTCCTGACAAAGCCACAATGAATGGGATTTCCCTCTCAACTTTCCCAGAGGCAGCCCATTACTTTATTATTTTATTATCTCACAACTATTTTAATGGCCCTTGTCATTCCTGGGATGCTACGGTAAAATATCCTCAAGTGGAGTGAATAAAGGGAGTGGTTAAAACCTTCCTCAAGGCCCAGAGGGATTTACTCACTTACCAGAACCACAGCACACGCCTGCTCAAGGCGCCCTCCGGAAGCCTGCTCTGTAACCATATCCTCGCCAGCGTCCCACTGTTCTGTCCTCGCCTGGTGCAGTGGTCTTGTTTTCTTTGCTAAAATGTAGAACACAAGGAAGAAATAGACATATACCTTTATACGTGTGTACATGTGTGCAACATACAATGCCTGTCTACCCCGGTCATTAAGGATTTTACCGAAAACTCTGTATGATTAAGAAAATTAAATTAACTTTCTGTGAAACAGGTCTGGGGCTGTTAAAATCCTTACCAACTAAGGCTGGAAAGGTGGCTCAGTGGTAGAGTGCTTGCCTAGCATGCATGAAGCCCTGGGTTCCATTCCTCAGTACCACATAAATACAAAAAGCCAGAAGTGGTGCTATGGCTCAAGTGGTGCATTGAGCAAAATAAGCTCAGTGGCAGTGCCCAGGCCCTTAGTTCAGGGCCCAAGACTGGCAAAAAAAAAAAATCTTATCAACTAATATCCTGAAAAAAGTAAAAGAAGAAGGAGGAGGGAAGGAAAATGTCTCCCTGAAAGGCTATTGTCAGCTATGGAATTCAACTCAAGGAGGAGGGTGGTGACATGTTCCTCTTTCCTACTAGACCAAAATTTCAAAGCTTCAAATGTGTGGTAAATCTAACCAAGGATAAAGATTTGCAGGTGTTTTTTGCATAAAAGCAAGAAGGGCAGATGTGTCTGAAACGTGCTTCTAACCAAACAGGACATCTGCAACCCATTAGGTGTGTCCTGACAGAGAAAGTGAGAGGAGAGGTCGAGGCGGGACCCTGCTTCATGGAGCCTCCACTGTGAGGACTGCCAGGGTCTGGGGCACCCCGGGTCTGGGGAAGGTTAGCTGGGCCGGGCTAAAGTTTACATCAAATAACCTGGTTCCTCTTTTTTTCTTGCTTCCTATCAAATCATTTTTGAAATGTCAGCACCTTCTCTTTTCTCAAGTACGCCGACATGTTTTAGCGTTTAAGCCTTGGCAGCCCTCTCCTGCAGAGAGAACAACTCCCTGCTCTGAGCGCGCACACCTTTCCTTCCCTGAGCTCACGGAGAGCAGCCATGTCCTGACACAGCTTCTCACACTCCCACAGAACAAAGCGGAATTGTCACCACAGGCATGGCTCGAAGGTTACTCACTGGGTGTTCATGTGCCCTGCTTTGGACTCCGCAGAAAACCACTTACTTTTATTAAAGCATGTGTAGCAGTAGTGGTTGCAAAATACCCAAGGTGGAGAAAATGACTCTGATGTGTGTGACTGCTTCCTCCGCTGTCCAGAAGCGTGTTTTGCTCAGACGCAGGCCGGATGGCCACGGCTGGCTTCTGGCTTCCCTTGGAAGCCTTTGATTGGGCTTCGATGACTGCCAAGGGAGGTGCTTCGTAAGTGAATGCCTGCAGTGAGCATACCAGGTGTGTTTCCTGAATAATGTCCTTTTCTTGCATGTGGTCCTTTTGATAAACCATTAGTGCTGGAGCAGTTGGTTAATTACTAAACTCGTGGTGACAGACAAAACTGGCATGTGAAAACTTGTGCTGCAATCTGAGGATTAGAAGCCAGGCCTCCAGGGAAACCTCAGTATCAAAACTGATTTGGTATTGGAGACGAGGTGTTAGAACCACAGTTTGACAAAGTGGATTTCCAAGTGCAGTTAGCAATTACATTTTTAGAAGTCTTCCATTATGCCATTTATAAGAAGGTAATTTTAAGAGACTACAAGTCAGAAATGTGTATTTAAGTCTCTTCATTTGTACATGTTTAGGTAAAACCCATATTTATGAAACACCTAATGTGCACAAAAAAAGCATTGCTAGGTACAGGAGAAAGCAACAGTCCCTACCGTGCAAAAAAAAAAAAAAGTCTCAAAATCCAATGAAGAATCTCTTCCAAAAGTTTAAGTATGTGGTCGGTGTGTTTCTGGAAAATACTCTACTTGATATCAAGGAGAAAATCATGATTACAAAATCAATGTGCTTTGACTGGAAGCAAAAGCTTCCAGGGCTGAGGGCTTATGGGTAAGGACCCCCTGCCTCAGAAGAGACTCCAAATCCTCAGTCACCAAAGTCATCCAGGGCTGCAAAGAATAAGCAAAAGTCTGTACGGCACAGGATACTGGTCTTTCACTTATCCTTCATCCTGGAATAATCCTGAGCAAATGTAAATCAGGCTTTCCACTGAAAGTAGGAAGAACTCATCTCAACTGACTGAAATAATAAAAGCTGATCTGTTTTTTCACAGATCTGCAAAGGCCAAAAGCCAAAGTCTAATCAATCTTGAAAGATTGATTAATTGCGGCTTCAGCTAAATTTCCCTACAATTCTTCAACTATACTCAGCTCTTACCATTGGGACAGCTGACAAGGGTATAAATACTCCCTTTTCCACCTACCAGAAAGAAGAACTTGACTTCTCAAACCTACAGCAACCTACAGTCCTGAGCTTTAAGCTCATTGGATCACCTAGAACCAATTCCCATGGCCAGGAATTCTCATTGGTTGAAGCATGGATAATCTGAGCCAATCACTCTGGGACTGGGGTTGAGCCAACCTAGAAGACATGGTCCCTATACACACAATGGTGCAGAAATTAAAGAGAGCCATGCAAAGTGCCTGCCGCGATCCCTTTCCACACACAGACTCTGGGTTGTTCACATTTATTCAGTTTTAGAACAAACTCGGTTTAGAGAAATCTACTTTCTCTAAATCTTGATTTTTAAAAGCAAAACAAAATGGGTGATTCTATACTTTTTTGTTTTTGGTCGTGGGGCCTGTCCCTCAGCTCTTCAGCTCAAGGCTAGAACTCTACCATTTGAGCCACAGCACCACTTCCAGCTTTTTCTGCTTATGTGGTTCTGAGGAATTGAACCCAGGGCCTCAGGCATGCAAGGCAAGCACTCCACCACTGAGCCACCTTCCCAGCCCCTACACTTGTTTTTTTGCTGATGGTTTTGGTTGTTTTGAGACAATCTATGTGCTACCCATGAACCATTCTGCTCTACCCTCAAAAGCTGGGATTATAGACCTGTCTTGCTTTGGTTTTGGTTTTAGTATTTTTTTCATAGTTCTCTCTTCCCTTAAGGATATAGTAAGACCCCCAAATAAGCATTTGAAAAGTTTGACAACGGTGTGAGGACGGTTTAACTCTATCAGCTCATCTCCCTTTCTCCCCAGTTTCTAAGCATAGTATTTGATCTAATTTGGAACTCTCAGTTGTGGAAGCCCAAATATTTTCTCCTTCACCTTAGATAATGGGTCATAAAATTTGCAGAAGATGCCATGTTCCAGGGCACCTTAACCAACACGCCTTAAACGTTTTCTGGAGCATTTTACCAACCTCACAGAGCCCATCCAAGCAACACTCATCTTTCCCTCTGAAAACTCACCTCAAGTTCCTCAACTCATCTGTAAAGTGCCCACGTAAGAGATTCGCACAAGCTAAGTATTTCTTCCACACGTTAATTAGAAATAGAGCTCCTTGCGTTCAGAGATGTAATTGTAGGACTAAGCAGTGTCCAGGGAGGAGGTTTTCCCTGCTGCCCTGGAGATGGGAGTGAATGAGCTGCCCGGGAGGCAGGCCAGGCCTTCCTCTGACCATTCAGACTGTTCAAGGACCACGAAGGACAGACTTTTCAAAACAAGGACTGGTAAACTTGCAGTATTACCCCTAAACATTACACTGGAGAGAACTACTGTAAGCCTTTGTCCATATTAGAAGTGTTTTTCCTTGATTGCCCCTCCAGCCCGCCCCTGTAGTGCTCTCTGGGAAGCAGTATTAGCGCTGTGTTTGATTCACTGCTTGCTTACCCCTGGTTCTCACTGACTGCTCTCTGCTTCCGCCTCCCCTAGAGGTGGCCCTCAGTACCAGGCACACAGCATCCCCCTCTGTGTAGCTGACCTGCAGCATACCCTGGTCCCTGCCACGCCAGCCCTTGTGGGTCAGGTGGGAGGCCAGGAGCAGTTCTCCACTGCTGTGGTCTCCCCTCTCTCCATCAACAGGAAACAGCTCCGGGGCTGGAGGGGTAAGTTGCAACACCTGCACCAGGCCTGGGGCAGGCCAGCCTGCCCCCAGCGGGCAGCCGTGGGGCGGGGGAGGGGGCAGCTTGGCCCAAATGCTGCTTAGTCAGGCTCCAACGCTGAGTAGAGCTTCAGATGTGCCCAGACCTGCCACTGCCAGGTGTCTGTGTCTGGGCTGGGAGGTGACTCTTGTCTCCTGGCGTTTCTGACACTGTCCTCAGAAGAGTGGGGGGGGGTGAGGAGGGGGCTCCTGGGAGGCCAGGACTGCAGCTCTATGTCAAAAGCCCTCACTCCGTCCCCCTGCCGATGGGCCCAACGCTCCTCCTTCTCTGGGTGCTGGTGAGCTGTCTGCCTGCCTGCCCCATGCAAACCTTCCAGCTAAAATGCACAGTTTTTAATAGAAAGGCCAAAAATGTTTCCTAATTAAAAAATAAAAAAGTTTTCAAGGCTTCCCTTCCGTTCCCTAAAAAAAGGCTGGTCTGTGTTTGCCAGGATTATGAACAACCTAGGCATCTGAAAAGGTTTACTGGCTCTTCTGTTGCCTCTGATTCCAACACAGGTAGTCTAATCTCCACGTGGCCTTTGAGGACCCAGCGGGGCTGTGAATTATTCTCTATCAGGAATGATGTTCCACCTTCCCAAGAACACACCCCTGGTACAGCAGAGTACAAATGAGCAGCCCACTTGACACACTTAACTCACAAATGTTTTGTTTGGCTTCCACCATAGTTATCAAAAATGTGAATTAGTCACCAACTTCTAAATCGCAGAACCTTTGTAGCTTCTCTTGAAAACTCGGGAAATCTGGCAAAACTGGGGCCTCATGCCCAGCTGGTGAGAAGCGAGGAACAGCCGCCTCCTTTGGAGAGGCACTGACCTCCTTCCCTACCTGACTCACTTCCCCGGTCCCCACCAGCCCAGCTCCTCAGCCCAGGTGCTGATTCTTGGGGTTGAGGGGTCCTCAGCACATCCACAGAGAAAGATCTTGCTCAGAGCAGAGCGAACCAACCAAGTCTTGCCACCAAAGAGCAATTCTCACCACCTTAAGATCCAGTCACAGCCTTTCTTTTTTACTTTTCTGTTGTTGTTGTTCATGGGGCTTGAACTCAAGGCCTGGGCACTGTCCCTGAGCTCTTTCATTGAAGGTGAGCACTCTACCACTTTGAGCCACATTTTCATTTCTGATTTTCTGGTGGTTAGTTGGAGATAAAGAGTCTCATGGACTTTTCTGCCCAGGCTGGCTTTGAACCACAATCCTCGGATCTCATCCTTCTAAGTAGCTAGGATTCCAGGTGTGAGCGCCCTGCGCCCTGCTAGTTTTTGTTTTTTAATCCTTGGTAATGTAGTTAGGGAAAAACATTCTGTTTTCATCACTTGCTAAGAAAGTTGATGCACAAGGGAAATGCCCAGGCCCTCGTTTACCGTGAGGAGCGGAGGCCAGGCCAGACGCCCTGCAGACCGCAGAGTCTGCACGGTCCCAGCCACACTCCCTTCCACAAGCCCTGGGCTTTCCCGGCCCGTTTCTGCTTCTGGCGGGAAATCCCGTCAGAAGAGATTGAGAGGATTCTAGTTCGAGGCCAGTCCGTGCAGAAAAGCCCCGGGGAAGCCTTCTCAGCCTCAGGCCGCGGGCGGGCC